ATTTTTTTGTATTGGATCTCCTTGCTGCTGACTGTAGGCATTCCTTTGTACAATACACCAACATCAAAACAAAATTTTCAGTGATCCTTCTTGGGTATATATGTACTGTGGAGGTTCAAAAGTGGTCATTTGCTGTATACACATGCACGCACCGGTATGTCATTTTGATACGAAAAGTGTAAAAACTAACTGCTTGCACTAACAGATCCATTACAGTATAACAAACGGACAAATCAGTAAGTTTCATAATACCACTGCATTGTTTAAAAAGACAAATAGGGTTTCCCTTTTGCATACAGAGGCTATTCCTTAGACCTTGAAGGTATTTGAGGTTGGAATTTGTGTTTACTAAAATTAACACATGTAAAGGAATGTAATTCTTTTATTCTATTTGAATTCTTCTGTTTATTGTAGCATCAGTTGGCAGACCTGGTAATACAGGGACTCCCGAAGAATGCTTCCAACGAAATACCCAAGCCGCATCTACCAGACAAGTCCATAACCCAACCACTGAAGAACTCGTTGAAACTATCAGCAGAAGGTAGGACGGATTAAGAGTTGGGTAGATTTGGTTGGGATCCAATAAGTGATGACTTACAGCTGGTTCAAGAGCGTCAACAGAGACTCGAACTCAACTATCCCTCCTACGAACAACGCTTCAACACCGCAGTTCGTGGAGACAATCGATCTCTCCAACAAACCACTCTGGGTCGCATCAGAACTACTTTAAACCTTGTCAATACATTGTAGAGCAAAGTAAATGGCCAATTTCCAAAGAAGTAGAACTTTGCATAGACTTTATCGTACGTTCTGTGCCTTTTAAGCTAAACTGTGTAAATTTGAATTCATAGCAAAAGTTTTATTTTAAACCTCTTTTCAGTTTACTAATTTGGAAAAGGTGACTAATCTATTGTTTTTGGTTGGAACTATGCTTGTACCTGTTCGATATATCATTATTATTTGTGTTTCAGACTACGCATTTACTCTGCAAGGTTGTACACTATTTAGAGTTTGAATTTCTAATAAAAAATACATCTGCTACATTTTACTCCTCCGTAAAACTTCATTGTGTCATTTAACAGCTTTCAGGTCATTACGTTTTTTAATTGAGGGTATTGACGGGGACATTAGCAGAGTTGGATGTTTGACTTAACTGCAATGAAAATCAAAACTGAAATCGGGTGTCTGTTAACACGTTGACTGCCGGTGACAAAAACACGAAAAAAATAATGTTGACAAAAACATTATATAGATGTATGCCCTCAGCATTGCCAGCAGCGTTTTTTTGGCGTTATCAGTAATGCCAGTGTATTCAACTTACAATACAAAAACCTTTCGCTTTCTACGAGTATACTCGTACTGACAGAATCCGGTACACCTGTGACTACGAGTATGCTCTTGGATGGCAGTCAACGTGTTAATGCTGGCTAATCATGGTGGATAGAGAAGAGAAACCTCCTTCAAATAGACCTTGAGATAATCATTTTGCTTCAATGATACTGTAGCTTTTCCCGTGCAACTTTTTTAAAATTGGCGCTTCAATTAACGCTAAGCTCATTAAATTCGGTGTAAAACTGAATGACGATCCATAAGACAAGCCAACCACTACTCATCCAACACCAAATGTTACCGCCGACAATGTAATAGGCTAATCGACTGATAATGTAATAATGGCAGATAATGTAATAAACATCAACCGATAATGTAATAACCCAAGCGACCCATATTGTAATGACAAATGGCCGATAATGTATTGAAAATCGGCCGATAATGTAATAACCTTGGATTTGCTTGTTTCTTAGAAGGCCTTGAGGGAACTTAGGGTTTTTCGAGTTCCCAGCACTCGGATCTTTCTTTACTGCAAAACCTTCAACTTTCGATCTTTTCAAATTTCCAGTATTTATTTTTCGGCTCGTTCACTTTGTACACGTTTTAGAGGCATTATTTCAGCCACTCCGTAAACATTTCTGGTAATCAGCTTTAAATAATGTTCAGAAAGTGAGAGAATATGTTCAGATTGGTGGATTCTTTTCCAACTGAATATACCGGAAACATTTATTCAATGAGCCACGAGGTCAGTTACACTGCTAAATTAATGTCAAGAATAATACCAAACCCTGATTATTCTTTAGTTTTTTCGACTCAGACAAAATAAGCCGACGTTTGTTTCATTTACCCACTCTACATTTCCAGCACTATACACGAACAAACGGAAAACCAAGAGCAAGAACTATTTGCCAAAACGAAATGCGAAAAAAACCTTCGGTCGATTAACTGCATTGGGCCCTTGGCCTAGTGCGGCCGATGTCACCCGAAATAGATATTTCCGAGCAAGGGCGGATCCAGACCGAAATTTTGGAAGGGGGGCCAAAAACCTGCGCGTACTCCCAGCTTTGTTAAGAATTTTTGGGGGATAGAGCACAGGGGGCACCAGTCTATTGAGTAAGGGGGCATTGTTTTTCTGGCGGGGCGGCACCTTGGATGCGGGGGCACGTGGCCACAACACCCCCCAAGTGAAGTAAAGTACCGCAGATTTTTTTTCTATTTCCCAACAATAAAAAACTTAGTGTATACTTCACACCAACAAGTTATAACAATATTGAAGACTGTATTATACGAGTATTTGTATACAAACATTTATTGAACAAGTAATAAGGTTCTTCATATCAATAGCTGACAATAACATAGCATATTATACGAGCCTAACCGGAATCATAATAAACTATTAAATAACCCAAATGCTAAGAAGTGGTTTTCATTAATGGCTCAAAAAGACTTCAATAAGTTTCAGTTTGGCAGTTTCAGGGGTCCTAATATAAGCAAAGGGAATGAGGGGTGTATTGAAATCTAATACACAAAAGAAATGAGGCTTACTCTTGCACAGTATCAGTCATGTTTTCCGATCTTGCTGTTCGTGTCTACACCTTAGCCTATACCAAAAAGTCTAACTAATGCAATAACATAGCACACAGAAAAATTTGACTAAAAATTCTCAACTAACATGTTGCACTTGAACTAGAGTTGTAACATTAAATGATCAATAAGAAAAATCTTTTATTACATGCTTAAAAGGGGTTTCTCAAAACAGAAATTGAGTGATCGTGTACTCAGAAACTCAGCACCAAGGTTTAATCACTTGTAGCCCGTCTATATCCACCGGGTTTAAAAAGTCTCCTCAGACCGGTTTGGTAAAATTGTATACTGTGCGATTTATATCTCCAAACACAAGCAATCCAGTTTGAAACACTAATTTAAATTTTTTTGTTTTAAAATATGTCTAATATATTACTAAAAAAGCCTTCCTCTCATTTTTGAAACTCTTTTTCCAAATGAGAATTTAACAACCAACAACAGACTCTAATTTAAGAACAGCTTAAGCGAGTAACATGTTTGCGCCTGAACTGGGGTTGTAACATTAAATAATCAAAGAGAAAAATCTGTTATTACATGCTTAAAAGGGGTTTCCCAAAACAGAACTTGAGTGACGGTGTATTCTGAAACTCAGTACCCAGTTTAATCACTGGTAGCCTGTCTATCTCCACTGGGTTCCAAAAGTCTCCTAAGACCAGTTCGATAAAAATGTACACTGTACGATTGATATTGTTGCGCACCCGCAAATCTTGGAATTCTAGCGCCCCCTAGTTTTACTCGTTCTTGGTTCTTGCATTTCTCAGGGTCTCTTATTTAGCTCAGCTATGCGTTATGGACATGTAGCAGAGACGCTAATTTTGTATTAAGTTATTCATGCTGTACTCTGGCGTGTTCGTGTGTTCCTTTGCTCCTTTGTCCTTGTGTTTTCTCCGCTCAGTTTTGGCATGTCGAAATTCCCCTCCATGTGGCTGCGTGGTTGGGCGTGGTAAGGTTCCCTGAAATGCTAATGTTCAGAAACCTCAGACTTTGTAACTGTCAATCATTCGCCACACATGACCTGGTAAGCACTTTCACACACCCGGCTCTACACTTTGTTCACGTGACTTCTTATTCTGTATTTTACCTTTTTACACACGACACTTAGATTCTTGTAGGCCTATACGACTCTAGCAGAAAGTTATGTGACCCTTTGAGATGGAAGATGTTCATTGGTTGAGCTGTTTGGCGACGCTCATATTTTATTAATTCCTAAGCTTCTAGAATCCTATAAATACAGCAGATTTTTTCTAGCTCGTCGGTCAGGTGCGGCGGACCAAACCCTTGCTGGGAGAGCGGAACCTAACGTTGTGCGGCGGTTGGACCCTTTCCGAGAGAAGTGCGATAGTAACTATCCTTATGTCGAAGAAATGTAACCATATGAATGGCCAGCTAGCTTAGCTTGGACCGCTGCGAGAGCGGTACGAACTAGCCCAGGGTGCTAGCGAGAGTCGTAGCGGCCCGTCATCGCTACGTCCGAACCGATTGCCGGGCGAGACAACCCTGGGCCCCCTGTCCCTCGCCACCCTTGTCCTGGTATTAAACTAGCCCAGTCCTCCCCGTCTCTACGCTGAGCTAATGGTACACAGTGAGACGATCTTATCATTGCGCTCAACACATTGCGGTCTGAGCGGCCATGCGGTCGGCACATACCGGCGCTGGCCCCGTCCAGCCCTTGCCAGTCACCGTGGTGGTCCGGGACAGCTCCCACCACGGCCCGGCCCGATGAGTGTAGCCTAGTTGTGCGATGCTACACACACGTACCGTAACCCACTCCGTCTGACTTGCATTTCCAATGGTCCTGCCAAACTGTAGTTTAGTTACACTCATATACAAATTCGCCTCTCTGTAACTTTGCCTTTTGTGTGTTGTATTATGTTGAGCTACACCTTCTTCAACCCTACATTGAACTTTGATGAAGAGAAGTGAGAGCAATAAACCAACAATACAGTTTGACTATCACCCAAACCCCTTGTTTCACGTTCACCTTTTATTAATTGTTGACCCCAAATATCACAATCCCGTAGACACTAATAAAGTCCATGCTACCATCGACTTGATATTTAGGGAACGCAACAATATCTCCAAACACAAGCAGTCCAGTTTGAAGCACCAATTTGAATTTTTGTTTCCAAATCCGTCTTATATTTTACGTAAAGGAGCCTTCCTCATTTCTGAATTTTTCTCAAAACCGCAATTTAACAACCACAAACATTAAACTCTAATTTAAGAACAGCTTCAAAGTGAAGGTCAACACAAAACGTAACGGCTCACTCAACTGTAGTTACTCGGTCCTCCAACATGAGTTAGTAGCTAATAAGCAGCAAATTGAAGCCATATCTATTCCAGCAATCTGATATAAGCCACGAACAGCGGGCATCTGTGAATACATGCCCAGAGGATCAGCTTCTTCTTGGGCTTCAGACTTATTTAGAATGCACGACTGAAGGCTGTCACATTTAATGGAACAATCGTAACAACCTGCCACATTATAACATTTTGTTTTGAAAACTGGATGTTTGTTGGTTTCAAAACAAATTTGCATTTGAAGATTGCTCTAAGATCATCACTGATTTTTTTTATTTAGACAAGCCCCTCACCAACTCTTCTACCTTTGCTACACCTTCAGAAAGTGATTGAAGCGTCACTACCTGTGCTTCCTCATGCAGAGGTGCTGCTTCCCCGTCAGATGAGGAATATGTGCTTGCAAGATTCATACCCTTGCGTTTTCGCTTCAACCAGTCAGCAATTCGTACAGCTTTGATCTTTGTATTTGTTCCCCAAAAGTATCGCCCTGAAAACACAGAAACAAACAAAAACCTTTAATAAGGCAAAAACAATTAAGTCCGCGATAAAAAGCATCCTCAGTTGTCTTCTTCAGGATACTTCTTATCGCGGCCTTAAATTTTAAACGTATTTAAGGTAATCCCAAAGGTAATGACATCTTACTTCTGTGTGCTTTTCCTGGTAGGTTTATGAATAGATCATCTCCTCATTCCCATGGCAGTTCCGCTATACATGTATTACTGCAAGTCAAAAGCAGACCCTAAACAAATAAGACAATATGCCAAAAAAAGTTAGAGGGCCCACGTTTTTAAAACTGGCAGAATCTTTAAACGCCCCAAAATATAGGGCCTCACACTAACAATGTGTCCTTGTTACCGTCTGTGTAAATTGTAGAATGGATAATCCAAAAATTCTAGTCTCAAAATTTGGAAACGAGAGAAATCTATAATGTGGTGATTTAAACTTATGGTTAGAAAAGGCCAGCATTTGCCCGTTAATTAGAGGGAGAGGTAAATTCTGACTTATTCAAATGGAACAAAAGAAAAAGGGGTAGTACAGGGTGCAAATATGAACAGTTCCCCTTTCCAAAGTATACAATATCTTTTCTGACGAATAAAGTGCGTGTAAATCTGGTCAACTCCAAATCCAATTGATCAAAAGTTATTACCCGACAGACTTGAATTCCATATCAGATTAATAAATCGGAAACACTCCTCAACTACCCACGCATGACAAGGGGATATCAGAATCGTAAGAATTTGAACAAGTTACAATCTTACCTCTTGTGCTCTCAATTTCGAGCCCTTCAGAGTCTAGTAGTGTGATTGCCCCTTCACTCTTTGCTGATTTGAAGAAATCAAATTCTTGGATGAGAAGTCTTTTGATTTCACGAGTAGTTGCATCATCACCAAGCTTCAGGGTAGTTGACATAATTTCCAGTAACTTTCCATCGCGAATCTCACAAATAATGAAGTTTTTGGTGAAAGTGTTATCTTTTGGTGATCCTGATAGAAAAGCCACAAAAGAAAAACATTTAGAGAAGCTTAAAATAAGGTGCAACAGTAAATAAAAACGAACAGGTCGGGACGGCCAGATCAAAAATCCCTTTGCCCAGCAAGTAAGATGTTTGTACTCCTATTTTCTTCGTATTTTGGATTGATGCAATCAAACATTTTGATGTACTCTTCCACTGCATTGATCTCTTTTGATGTCTGTGTCTCTTAAAAGGCCCCTGGTAAAAACTCATCTGAGGTGTTTCCAACTCTCCCATGGCCATGGCTACCTCCGAAGGAGAATGGGTTGCACTTCCGTTGAGTTGCTGCATCACCTGTGACTTTCCATGTCAAGAATGCACGCAAGTTATTGAAAGTTCCGTCAGAGCAAGGATCGAACAACGACCGAGTCATCAGACCGGTAAAGAATGATCGACGTAGGCCTATGCGTGCAAGAGTTCCCGCAGACATTTGGTGTTTTTTCAGTTTTAGCATGCGGTCGTTCTCTGTTCCCTTTACCAAGAACACTTCTGGTTCTTGAAAATCGTCCTCGCTGCGGTGGCTGTCTATATGGCCGTGACGTCCATCTTCGTCAGCCGCTTAATAGGGTTTGTACCTTTACTGAGCTTTCTCATGGCTAAGAATAGTACTTGGAATATACAAAGATGGAGTCAGCTGACACGAAGAAACCACTCCGGAAGAATTTCCTCTGATGAATGCAGATTGCTTCCTGTCTAGGAAATCTTCCACAGCCGACAACTGAATGGGAAATCAAAACTACTATACCGATAGCCCTTTTGGTGATCAAAACAAAGGATTATTGGCCAGGAAAATTTCACCCTTCCAAGCAGCCTATTACTTCAAGAGTTGTTTAAGTATAATTACGACGGGTGGTTTAAGTATAATTCGACAGACACATGAATCTTTATGTTCTTCTGATTCCTGTTTTCAAAAAAAAAACACTTAAACACGCACCTTTCTTCAAAAGTGTGAATCTTTTTGTGGGGGGGGGACACTCATCAAAGCCTACATTGATAGCGCGGACCGTGACTGGCCCTTATGGCGCAGGGTCCAAGGAATAATGATGCTGGACAAAATTCATGAACCTAAGAACTTCCTGTCTGGGCACGCAATGATGTCCTATTATCTTTCAAGTGTTTCCGAAAGCTTCGTGGATTGGACAAATTCCGCCCCGTTGACAACCGATCGTGACGTATGATGAGCTGGATAGATGGACCAGTTGGGCAACGGCGAATAGGCCTCGAAGGACAGCATGCAGATGGCCGCTTTGGGACCACTTGGTATAAAATGTTCAATCTGCTCTCAAAAAACAGGAAAATGAAAAAAAAACCAGATTTTGTGCAATCTGTTCACTGAGTTTTCTCCATGAAGCAAAGTAAAAAACATAATGTCGGATAAATTAAAGAAAATCTTATTTTAGAAGAAAACCTAGAAAACAAGGAAATGGTTATCAGTTTATTATTCAGTCTGCTTTTCTGGTTGCAAAAAATGGAAAAAGCTTTTCACAAAAACGTTCAGTACGAGTTTGTCCTATTTTGTCGGTAGAAAAGCAAGAGTCCACTGTTGGACCATATACAATTATAGTCAGTTTTTGTGAGAAGCAGAAAAGTAGATGTCCGCTTTTGAACCTCCACTGTAGACTTGAAAGTAAATTCCATTCTTCTGGTAGCAAGAAAATGAAAAAGTAGAAAACTGCATCTTGACAAACAGTTCGATCTCCTTTTCTGGTTGTGAGAAAGCAGAAAAAGGAAAGCGAAAAAATTCGTTGTGTAAAAACGTCCGATCTGCTTTTTTGCTATTTGAACAGTAGAAAAGCAAATGTCCACTTTTGAACCTCCATACCCATCTCCAGGTGACTTTTCCCAATTATTACCTGGGGAATACAAAAGGGAAAATTCCGATGTAAGTGTTTCTGGGGTGGTTTCAGTCATTCCCCAAATTATTGAACGTTATAGGACAGCCCCCTTGCGGACCCCGCGACTACAGAGGGTTCCGGTAGCTCGCTGCGCGAGTGACCTTATACTTCCAGGCGCTATGCCTGCCAAGTACCCTCCTATTCATGATAAATCACACACAGTCGTACACGCCCGCGCGCGTCTCCCCAGCCCTGTTCAGAACTTGAGCTTGCGTACACGTACATGTAGAATGCATAAAAATAGTAAGCCTACATGCACACGTTCAGCCTATATACATGTACATGTACAGGTACGTCCATGTACATGTACATGCATACATACGCATCCATGTTCTGTTCTTCCTTGTGCCGACTTGTACCCGCTTCAATTTCTCATACTCATGTACAGCACATGTACATGTACATGTACAACTGTATATACTGCAGGTCGTCTATTTCTGTCGTTAGCGGTTTCAATTTTTCACATAGCTTAAGACATCTCCTGTTGTTGCCAGTGTATTTTTCTCAGGTCATGTGTATTTTCAACGTCGCACACAGTTCATCTTTCCAGCTAAATTGCTGCTAGTCTTTTACCTTCACGTAACTTCACTTCAGACAGAAAAATATGCCAAAAAGACACCAAGAATCTGGCGTCTGCCAAGAATTGTGAGAAGCTTGTGTAATCGATGCGTCTGATTTTTCCACGCCCCTGATGAATTATTGATTACAATGGTAATGCATTATTCAGTAAGTCACATGACGTGTGTCAATCACTTGCAGCGCGTTGTGCTATGCCCGCCGCCATAATAGCTAAACACTGGGTTGACGCTAGACTGACAATTCAAGGTATGTCACTCAATGTCTTATTTTCTCAATCCAGCCCTTGTCCGCTGTCATCCTTGTAATTTGGCCATATTTAACGCCACCGCATAAGTCATTGAGTGATGTAAATCATCAAACTGAAAATGATAGAAATAGTCAGTTAAAAGAGGGGAATTTCGGGCTCTTTGCTTGTTCATTTGTATTGGCTCTTTGTTGGACATGTTCGTTGGACCACAGACGGTTGTACGATGACAGCACTGTGTGTTATACATGGACACTGTAATGTACTGTACATGTACATGTACTTACAAGGCTACGTCTTTTGCGGTGCATACAGAACATGGCAGGTTTATTTTAGATTTTAGGGAGGAGTCGTGGTGAAACTTTGAAAGCGACAACTACCGATTTCGAACCTTTTGTCCTGTTGTTGTGGTCTACTAGTACTAGTTGGTAGGCCTAGTTGCGAAAGATTGACCAGCGCGAAATGGGTTGCGTCATGTTTTCGGTGTTTTGCACGAATTTTCAAACTTCTGTTATTGAGCTGCTGAGTTCGTTTCAATCTGTACTTTATATAGAAACATGCCGACGGCGTTCGTACGCTTCTAGTTGTACGTGTACGCAATTGGACACAGCAAAGTGTGACAGTAGTGTTCTGCGCTTAACACTGCATCCAGGAGAACAATTTGTACCACAAAACATTTCATTGAATTCTATTCCATTTTCAGCATCTGTAAATGCTTTTTTTTTATTTTGTCTTAATGTATTCTTAAAGCTTTTATTTTATTTATTTATTGATTTCGATGACCAATAGCAGTGACCTGCCACAAAGTTGTCAGACTAAAAAACTGACATATATTTAAGAAACAATAATTAGGCCTTATAAAAATTGTGGATCAGCATCAATGGCCTTTCATATTTTAGGGGTAGGCAGTAGCCTTTTTTTTTGAGAGAGAGAGATTCAGTTCCAAATGATGCAATTTATTGAGGAAAAGTAATAGTACAATGAAGTGAATCACAATGCGTTTTACAAAACTGATTTTGTTTAATTCATACATTAAGACTTGAAAATGCTGGAAAAATTTAATGATCGCGATCGTCCGCCATGTCCATTTGTACCGCAACAAAGCGCATGCGCAGTGCAAGGTGGGTTCAGCCAGGTAGGAAAAAGGGCTGCGTGCTAGAGTTATGGCTTCTTCCGATTGACACATTGAGGAAAATTGTCCTACATGTAGCTTCAGCACATGGCCCTTGCATTAGACGCGGCCATGCTCTGTCCTGCTAAATCCCTGGGGTTGATCTTAAGAACTGTATAGCAAAACGCATAGTATTGACTGAAGGGATCAAGGCAATAAGGTTGTTACCAAAGGAACGGTCAACATGAAGGCGAAATACCGTACATGTACTAAACGTGTACAATGGAGGTTAGGCCTTCATGAAATTATTCGTGTGGTTTCTGAATAGTTGGCTACGGCGAAGTAACTCTGCGCTCCCTTGTTTCTTAATGGCATTTTTGTGACAATATTTGCGTCGAAATGATAGATGGTGCAATTTGCACAGATCACAAAGATTGTTTGAGTATGATGGTGACTCTGACATGTAACAATCTTTTTACTGCTGTTTGAGAAGTTTGTTAAAAAAAAAGGGGCGGGCGGGGATGCTAACCATTTAACCTTTTTTATATGGCCTTACAATGTAATAGAATGATATGAAAAGCAAAAATATACATTGATAATGAAAAATACCTTGTAGCATCGGCAGATTCAGAGGGGGGTCCTGGGGTACGGACCCCCTTTCATAAGAGGACTCTTCTTTTTTTTACTGGGGATCAAGAGCAAACAGCTTTGTTGATGTTTCTTATGTTTATGGATAAGGGACCTTATCTAAAACCACATGTGTAGGGAAATTACCTTGGTTTGGGGAATATGGGTATTGGTTTATACAAACATGTACACATATTATAACACTTGTCTTAGATTAATGCACAAAATGAAATGTGGTTTTGATGGATTAATCAAGATATGACTGTTACTGTCGGGAACCCTAATGGGAAATGGAGTGTCTGATAAGTCAACAGGGATCCAAGAGATGCGATGACTTGACTCACCTCTGGCTAAATGTGACTTCACATTTATCAAATTTAATATGTTTACATATTTTGTGTTTTTTCGCCACAACTTTGATGTAGATTTACTCATTATTACAGGTAACTGTCATTGAAAAATATTGGAAAATTATGACGTAGTTAATAAAGTAACAATGTCATATGTTAATTACATGCTTTTGCATTTGTACTAAAATGTTTCTCAGCGTGCTCAAGGCAAATATACCCGTACATGATGTAGTCATGTTTGTGCAATAAAAGTGTGTTCATTTTTTCCCAGCACACTACATGTGTACATGTAACCCCAAAGCATTAAATTTTATAAAAAATGCATCTCAGTGGAAACACGACAAACTTAAATCAATAAATAATAATTGAAAAAAGGAAAATAAATCTGAATTGAATTTCTTTAAACAGGCTGTAGTGTGATGAGGGAAATTTCACTCATGAATAGGAGCTTTGATTGTAATAACGTCAATTTCACAAGACTGATTTCCTGCATGTACTGTGTATGTGCTTGATAATAGGCCTTCGTGGTGTTCATATAAGAACTTATCAATGAGTTACGTTTTGAGCAGAATATGCATTGCACTTTGTTCAAGTAATGTGGTTGTTCAGGTATATGTACAGTGCGTTAATCTTTATTCCAAAGTCTCGTATGAAATTAAAGTTTTCCTGTGATTTAATTCACAAAAATTTACTAGTAGGCCTGTAAACACATTTAATGCTTTTTCTCAAAAGTACTTGAAACAAAGGTACATGTATGTTTTTTGTTCTCACAGAATGTTATATTTAGGAAGTTATGTGTATGGAGAAACCAACTTTACACAGTTTCACAAACTTCAATCATCAATAAAAATAACAGCACGATAACATCTGATTGTATCATGCAAGTTCACTGCTCCCACTAGAGCTTTTTTATCATTTCTATTTATAACGAGGTACTTCTGAAAAGTCTGGTAGCTTTTCGGCATTATGGTTAAACTATGGGACAGAGACTGGTTTATATCAGGATGTAATGTCCAGTAGTGAGTTTGTCCTGCTTTGGTGTGTCGTGTAAATTACTTTGCATATCATGCAGCATTCCAACTGTTAATTGCCTTCTGTACATAAATTAAGCTATTATTGAATGTTAGTTGAGCACGAAAAATTAGTGTACCGTTAGTTTTTGCTCACATACTGTACATTTATACCAGTACCAGTTGCATTTTACTCCAATTGTAAATTTAGATGCTTGCTGAGGCCTAGCAGCCATTATGCGTTTAGTAGACTTTTCTGTCTTAATTTTCATGATCAGCCCATCGTGCACAGGTGTCTCAACTGCTTGCAAGACTCCCCACAGTGTGAGAGCACATGTACATGTATCAAAGTACTTTGCTGAACAATGTCAACAATAGAACAAAGCACAAGGAGCTAGTAGGCCCCTTTCTAGATACATGTACCGTACCTTACAGAAAATGTAATTTTCTTTAATTAAATCTCAGAGTTAACATAAAATAACAAAAGGAGAAAATTCTTATGATGGGAGACTATAAAAAAGGACATCTGGGGATCAAACCCAGCTGGGAACATGGTCTCAAGATGTGCGCACTATCCACTAGACCACTAGAATCTACACATGCTTGGAATTTAATAACCTAGACTTACATGCAAAGAGAGCGCTGTCTACTTGTAACCAGTAATTTTGAATTTGCCCTTGACTGCTACATTTGTCATTCTTTTAAATATGAATACTTTTACATTTCGACTTTTATATCCTTTTAATTGGAAAGACTAAATCACCTGTGAACACTCAGGTGAATTCAGACTGATTAATTTGGTCCAAGCCTCGTATCAGTAAACATTTTTGACATTCCTGTTGATAGACCAAAATAAGTACACTGTACAGTTTTGGTTGGCTTCACAAAATTCTGGCTACCAACTACATGTATTAAAGTTTGGGATGAGCATGCAGCATCAGCCACAGCACATGTATACCTGTAGCTGCAATCTTGCATTGTATACACAATTGATTTCTCTCAGCATTTGTTAAGTCAAGATATTGCAGTGATTATTGCATTACTGAACTGTTTTGGCTTTCAAATTGCCCTCAGCTGGAGCTGCAGATCCATAACACAATGCAACACTCCTCTGGAGTTGAGGTTTCTTCTTCAGGTACATCACATGTACCTATACTTACACAAGATGGAGCAAAGGAAGAGAGCAAACCAACAACACAAGGGGTGACTCAAGTAGTGACAAGTGCCTCAGCAACAGCTGTAACTGAGGATATTCAGGCACAGCTTGAGAAGGATAAGAGACTTATCTATGGGTGAGTATACATGTACTGTACAGGTGCAGGTACATGTATATCTACCTGCATATTGTGGACAGTACAATGTGCTCACACAGTGTAGTAACCGTAGCACAACATTTTACTTGCATGTAAATGTAAGATACATGTAGTATGCAGGGTGCCTTATGTGGCAACCGCAGAGAAGGAAGGATTGGCCTCATTTGTCCACACGTTCCAGAGCAAAGATTGTTGTTAATCTGGCCTGAATTAGTCACTTGGTAAAGGCAAAGAAGAAAATTGCAATTTACATCTACCCAAAAAAAAAAAAAATCAGGAAAGAGTTGCACACATGGACATGACATGATACCCTCTACACTTAAAAAACAGTTTTGTATGCTGTGAAGTTAGTGGAAAATGTGCTTGTACGGTTTATGAATTTAAAACAACCCGGAGGTGAAGATGTACATCTACATGTACACGTAGCCAACTCATCCTCATCATTTTCCATCAATTAGTTATCCTTGTTGAGAGAAGTTTGGGCTTTGAGTCATCTGGTACAAGCATTTTGACTTTAACTGAGTCCTACAGCCTTTGATTTGCACTGGATGCTAACCAAATACATGTATCCACAAAAGTATGCAGTCTGTCTAATTATCTCCAAATGGTCATTCTTTGTAAATTTGAAAGTGCAACTTGTTTTTTTTAATGACCAAAGTCACTCTTTTAATTGTTTTGAAAAAATCAGATTCTGGTTTACATGTATATGCTGAAGATTTGTTGAAGTTTTGTGCCAATTCTAATTTAGTACATGTATGTAGTCACCTTCGAGGGCCATAATTCACACTCTGCTGTGTGTGTGTGCACTCTGTGTACATGTAAATACAACTTTGTCAGGATGCTGCCATGTTTGTCTTGTTCCCTCTAAACCCAGTGGCAGTAGTAATACAACTTCACAAATTGAAAAAAGGGAACGTTTGTGTACATGTATCATTTTCCTTCCAGTCTTGGTTTGGTTACATCACGGACCACTTATCCAGGGATGTGCAACTTAAGCTCAGAGCTGGTTCAGTACATGTTACACATCCATGGGTAAATGGTCCATGGTTACATTGCTTTGAATGGTAGCAAAGCAAGATACATTAACTACATGTACACAGTGTACATGTATGATGTACCTCATGATAGAGGTCTATGGATCATAGCCATGCTGAGAGGGAGTCTCTATCAAATCAGTGCAAACATGGGTCTACATGTTAATTGTTAATTGATGTTGTTGAATCCAATTTCCATTGTCACTTTTATTTGGGTTGCCTTGGGTTGCATTTGATCTGATTAGGGTCCGGCTAGACTGGGGGCTGAGCTGGGGGTTGATTGTTTACTTATTTATCGCCAGTCCACTTAAAAGTTATACTAATCTTTGAGGCCCCAGACAAAGCATACAGGGAGCAGTGCTGTGACCATCTGCCAGAATACAAAATGGTTAGAGGCGACTTTCTTCCACAAACAACTGGGTGAACCCAGGTACCGAGTCTTGGATCAGTTCCAATAAGTATCAAATTGTTTCACTAAAGTTTCAACTTTATGTTTAATAGCGTTCAAATACAGGTACTGTTGATGTCAACTTTTGTCAGAATATTAAGAAAACTTCATTTCAGCTCAGGATGTGTGTTAAAAGTCTCTTTTACACATCAAATTTTTATTGATTGATTCAGACCTCTCCCAGTATAAATTGGAAGTGTTTTATGTTTTGCACAAAAGTTGTTGGATTTCCTGTTTGGTTTCAGATATTCTTCAAATGGTATCCCAATTTGCATGCATTTTTAGTTCACAATTAGATTTAAACTCAGTTCTTAACTGGATTGGTTTCAACTGGGCATGGTTTTTGGAAAAGCACACTTTGTTTCTGATGATGCAAACATCTGACTAACAATGTACTTGGAAATTTGGGACCCTTAGCTGACCTGCATACATAAATGCATGTGTACGTGGACTATGTGATCATGAGAGGGCAGTATTAAAGTTTTTTCCTTTTGTAAGTTAGCACAGGTTCTCTTACAAAAAGTCTGGATTGTATTGACTTTGTGCACAACTACAAGAAAGTTTCCCCTCAGTATTGTTAAAGAACGGCAGGGCCAACCCTTGAACAACACTGGGCACAATGCCATCACATGAAATCATTTTTGCACATTAAATATTTCCTTAACAATGAGTGTCATGGACGTGAGTACATGTATAACATACTCATTGGTAAATGTTTTGTTGTGCATTTAGACACCCCCTTTTCCCCTTGATGGCCCAGTTATTTGAGAAATGTGAGCAAGCCACTCAGAGCACCGATCCCCCAACATCAGCCAGCTTTGATGTAGACATTGAAGAGTTTGTTCATCAGCAAGATAGAACGGGTAAACCATTCTTCAGTAATGATCCAGAAATTGACAACCTGGTAAGACATCTATCAGATCATTTGCATGTACCAGGGAAAGATATATAAAATGCAAAACATAATGATACATGGACATTTTATACAGGGACCTACATTTGTACATATCCCATACATGTACGGGATGGGGGTGATTTTTCGTTGTTCTGTGCTTGTAATGTCCATGGAACTTGATCATTCATTGAAGATGGTGAAGGCAATCCAGGTACTGCGCATACACCTACTGGAACTCGAGAAGGTCAACGAATTATGTAAAGATTTCTGCCATCGGTATATCACATGTCTAAAGGGGAAGATGCATAGTGATATATTGCTGCGAGATGAACGACAGCCCGGAACACCATTTGCTTCAAGTCAACTTTCACAGGAGGGTCAAGGTTCAGCACAGGGGCCAGAAATGACTCCACCTCATCAAGTTACCCAACAGGTACAAATCCAGGTGAGGTAGTTAGGTTAAAGGTCATTTGCTGGAGGTTGTTTCCTTTGCTGGTGGTGCTGCATGAAACATACATGGAGCATAGCTTGTTTATTTGTCAGTTGGTAAGTGTTTTAAATGGTTTGTGCATTTTTGCTTGAATTTTATTTGAACTATATTCATTTCATGTGTAATTTGTATGAAATTGCTTCTGAATGGTTCTTGAGATTTTTGTTTCTTGTTTTTGCTGCATGCACCTTTTGTTTTGGAAAGTTGCTGCGTGAAAGTTGACCCCACCGAGAAGAAAAGTGTTTTGAAGTGGGGGAGGGACTAAAACCTTAACGAACAGTTAAAAGAGAATGGAAAAATGCCCTAACTAACCTATACATGTATCTAATGTAAAATTTATTTGTCATTAAAATCTGTTCTTCTCTTGGCCATAAAATGTCCTTTTGGAAGTGAAATTTATGAGTTCTAAATCCCAAATGTGGAAAAACTTTGTTTCCTGCATAAAAACACATATTACCAAAGCCTCGACTTATGCCCTCTGTTGTCCACCGAAAAATTCACTGGTATCTTTCGCTTTGTACATGTATAAAATTGCACCTCTTTAATCTTATCCCCGTAGGCCCTTTCTGCTAGGGACCCTCCTCAATCCTCCAAGTGGGTGAAAAATTGGATTCTCCCTCAATCCTCCAAAATTTTTTGATAAAGTTACTTGGAGGTGTGTCTTCTGCCCCGATCCTTCAAAATCCTGCGGCAATTCCTGTCATGTTGAGGCAGTACAAATGGCATTCTTGAGGAGTGCGGTTGATTCAAAAGAAATATCAGGCTGAATTTATGCATGACTAAGCAAAAACAACACAAGGTCTAACCCACAACTTTCATACATGGCATCCTTCGCAATCAACCGTGCACTTTTGCCATTCACCCTCAATCTTCTAAAACTGCCCAAAGGATTTTGGAGGATTGAGGAGGGTTAGGTTTAATAGTCACCAACTAAATGTTACTGTACTTACATGAAGTTCTCTTAGGACAGCGACCTCACAGTGCATTGCGGAAAATGAGTGGTGATGAATCTGCTTGCTTTGTTGTTGCATTTTATTAATTTTCCATTTTGTTCCTCTAAATTACAGTATAATACATATTTTATTACAACTGTTCTTTAATTAATCTACCTACATACATTACCCTTAAATAAAAAACATATTTGAACTATTTTGAAAGCAACAACAGGAGTACAGTTGACAAATGACAAGGTTCCAGATATTACAAGATAAGTAAGTAAGTCTCAAGGCGCATGTATTAACGAGAGTCGACTGTAGTCTTGTAGTCTGTCAGTAGTGCTTCAGGATAGTGTAGGGCAAATCAAAAATTCTTTTTAATTTACTTGGAATTAACTCCAACTTTTACTGTCCAAAGTAACATTGCAAAATGTGCATCAACGTGCAATGTAACTCTTACATGTACATGTAAGTACGCTCAACAGGTCGCGGTCATTAAGACATTGACTGATTGCCTATCATCCCCCCCAAAAAAGTTTTCAAGTTCAAAATGGAAATGTTGCACCCTGGAAGTTGCACACAGGTAACAGAAATCAGACATGTCCATCTATGTACATATACCGGTAGCTTCTCTAGCTATTTGCACCACTTCTGAAGCTTACACGAGTTTCGACTAAAATTGACTATTGCGATGCTCCTTAAAGTTCGAATTCCTATTTGCCTTACCTTTCAGAAAACTGTGGTGAGGTCTGCCAGCCCTAGTGTCAAATAGCAAGCAATAAGTCAACAAAAACAAGGTTTTATTTATTTGTCTGATGCTTTTTCATACTCGCAGTTCAATTTGCTTACTCCGGATCCCAGTTCACCAGCGCCACTTGCAGTAGAGCGCATTTGGGTCGACACACTTTCTACTTTCGTTGCTAAGGCTTAATGGAATTTCTTTGATCTATTGCTGTCTTTTTAGATTCCATCTGTCGCTAACTTTAAAAACTTTTTAAAAAAATTTTTCTTCAATAAAAAGAGAACTGAACACCAAAAATAATATACAGAGTAGAATATGATTCGTAATAGCAAACTTCTATCATTGAAGAATCATGAAATGTGGTACATGTATGTGTGTTGTACAGTTAATTTCCTATAATTCCAGATCGTTTGAAATGCAACCTACCTTTTTTGTTCTGTTCTCCAATACTTTATTCTGTGACATGTCCTGTTTCAAAGGGTAAGGTGTAAGTTTCTTGCTGTACAAATTTTGTACAGATTTCTGCTTCACACTTCGACATTTTTTAACAGTTTGGGAAAAAAATACATCTTGAAAAATTGTTCGCGGTAGCCGCTGCTTCATTTGACTCGGACCGGCCAGCTGACTCCGGCAAGCTCGGTGGTCGAGTGGTTAAGACATTTGCACTAT